TCTTCTTTACTTGAATAAAAGTGTAAAATAGTGGTGCTTGTGATGTAAACAAACGCTCAGCTGACGAACCCGCTTTCGCAAACTTTTTTCTCAAAACCAGTTACAAATACAACGTCGCGTTCTTACGTGATTTTGTATTTTTGGTTCATGGCTATTAGTGACTAGAGACCGCTTACTGAATACCAGGGTTAAAGTGTCAATATCATATATATTAAATAGGTGGTATTTTGGCAATAAAGCTGATGCCAGATAAAACTATGTGGCTTTGCGTGACATTTATAACTTTGCCAGCAAAGCGCCAGAAGCAAAAAGTATGCCGCAATGAACGCCAAGAAAACAATTTTGTTCTGATTTTTACTCCTCAAAATTGCTGTGAATTTCATTTATTTAGCTTTAAAAATATCAGCAATGTAATTAAATTTTATGTTTTTGCATGAAAACTCGAATTTGGACGAAACAAAATAAATATTAAAGCGGCTGATTGTCAACGCGCGCAATAAGATGAGAGTTGGCCATCTTTTCGCTTCGCGCTGCGGCTGAAGCGATCTATGTGACATGCTTTGTGCATTTTCATACATTTCATCTTTTCTGTCAAAGCGAATCTGTCACGCAACGCGAAGCAAAAGTTTTATCTGACATCGCCTTAAACGTTTCTACTAATAAAGTAGCAATTTATTAGTGCAATAACATTTTGCATAAATAGTGAAAAATTCACAGTGTACATTGCACACAAAAGTCCAAAACATCGGTTTTATTCGATACATCGAAAAGCAAACATCGATGTTTCCGATGCATCGATGTTTCATTTTAATGCCTAATTTTTATTGAGCGTGCATTTTACAAATCTGTGCTATGTTGTGTCGTCTTTGTGTAAAAGAATCTCTTTGCTTTCTGAATATCTTTGATTCGGATGGTATAAAAATGGAAATCGCTGATATACTCGGGCGTCACTTTTGGTTTAAGGTATTTTTATTTCATAATTCATTAAAATTGGGCATAACAGAATTTTTATAGCCCCTAGTTGATGATGGAATGTCCCCAGCTATTTGCACAATGTGCTGGGCAAAAGTATATAACTTCCACCAATTCTATGTGACGATAGAACAGGCGCATTCTATGCTTAGCGCTAGTAATGTGGAGAAAGCGTTTGTCCTTGAATACGTAGGCAATGAGTTTGTCGACAATGACGTTGTCGGGGAAGAACTTTCCGTTACCCTTTGCTCCACGATTGAGGAAGAAAAAGAATTCGTGGACCCTGATTTTATCGAAATCGACGACAGTGCCAAAAAGTTGGCAGAAACACCTTGCCCCAGAATAGGGAATCGAAATGAATCCATGGATCAGGAGTTTATCAAAATCGACGTTAATGCTAAAGAGTTACCCGAAGATCCTTGCCCAAATACCTCAATACAAAAGGAGCAGAATAATTTATTTACAAAACTAGTTCCTGGAATAGACATCCGTGGCGGCTTAAATGAAACATGCGACAAATTAAACAACGAAGACCTTGAATATTTAGATAATTCAGCAGGTGATAATATAATTTCATAAAAACGGATATGAAATAGTCTTTTATATAAAATATTTGCAGATGATTCTTGCTCAGGTTGTGGTGCACCGGAGACTGCTCCATTAATAAAAAAGTCTTTAAAGGCTGGTAAAAATCGTAAAACAGTTACAACTACAGAGAAAAAAATGCCTAAATTGAGAAAAACCCGGATTGTGAATACTGAATGCAAAGAAAGAAATAAAATATCTTCAGATCGATGTAATGCACAGGATCCTCCATTAACGACAAATTTCATGGAACCTGTTAAAAAGCGAAAGCGTATTACAACGTCAAAAAAAGGGCTTCCGCAGTTGAGAGAAAAACGTGGTTTGAATGAAATATTTGCAGATTTTTCGAATCATGAAACTCTGGACACTGCACTGGATAATTCTACAGAATCATTTAATGATTCATCTTTATCTGATTGTGATCCACTGGAGCCTGAACTCCAGAAGTTTGCAATACCGAAGTCTACAGAATCTGTTAAAGACGCATCTTTATCGAATGATGATACACACGAACTTGCCGTAAAGTCTAAAATATCTGCTAAAAATCGAAAGAAACTGGCATCAACCGAGGAAAAACTTGCTATATTAAGAGAAAAACGTGGTATTAAAGCCATGTGCAATGATGATGAGCTGGTAAAAAAATACATTCCTATGAGATGTGACGTTTGTATTTTCTATTGCGACGAGTTCGAAACTCTTAAAAACCACTATCGGTTAGATCATCCAAATATAAAACCATATGTGAAATGCTGTAATAGAAAATGGTATTCCTGGTTGTCTATTGTACATCACACCTATAGACATGACGATCCTGAGTTTTTTAAGTTTGTTTGATATCATTAGTATATCAGGTCGTTATAACAATACATTTCGTTTTTAGATGCCAAGAATGCCAAAGAATTTGCACTGATCAAGGAACTCTATCGCTGCACATGCTGGACTTCCATGCACCAGAGGAAGATAAAATCTTTAACTGTGATCTATGTCCTAAAAAGTTTGCACGGAAAAAGAGGCTGGAAATTCATCGTAATTTACATATACCTATGAACGAGCGCACATTTATATGTGATCAGTGTCCAACTAGTCGGTTTTCTTCTGATGCCTTGTTGCGAGTTCACATTAGAAATACCCATCGCCGCGCATCTCTTGTTTGTCATGTTTGTGCAAAGAAAATAAAAACCAAAGGTTTGTTTGAAAAACATGTGCGCTTACATTTTGAAGAAAGTGGCCCGAGGGTTAAGTGCACATTTGAAGGTTGTGATAGCTGGCTAAAGGACGAGGATAATTTACGTTTACATATTCGAAGGTTTCACAACAAAAATATAGAGAAAAAATTTACATGCGATATATGTGGAGGAGAGTATAAAAGTAGGGCATCCTTTACCGATCACATGCGGCGCGTTCATCCCAAAAAGACATTTCCTTGTGAAATATGCAATAAAAGTTTCAAGACTGGGTTGAATCTAAGGGTGAGGAAATATATGTCATGTACTAAAAGACCTGTAACAACCTGTAAAATTAGTATGCATCAGTTGCAGAAGCCCTCGGTTAGGATGGTCGTGTAGCAAAAATAGATTTGTGAAACATACTGAATTAAAACCTAAATGAAATCGAGCAAAGTAATGGATTTAAATGAGAGGAGAACAAGCTCGTAATTGCAAAATCAAAATTCAAAAACGCACCGTTTATATGGTACATAGTATCGGATGACAAGAATAACTGCTCATCAAAGAAAAAATGTACTGATATACTTAACTGAAAAAAATTAAATACGTATACTGGACAAATAAACCAAATGAAAACACATAAACTTAATGAGCAAAACAAGTAAAACTAAAAATTAAAATTATTAAGAAAATTAATATTCTGAGGAATTGATAACCTTCCCTTGTTTTTGAAGTCGGTTAATAAACTTGAAGGTTTCAGTTTAAAAACGAAATGTTTAAAGCTTACAAAATGCATATTTTTGCTTAGTTTTTAGAAAAATATTTTTAGAATACAATTAAACACGACAAGACTCTATATTGAATAGAAGAAATAGACAACGGTGTGATGAATGAAGAAATATGTAACAAATTAGAAGTTGTACAATGTCTTAGGCTGTTGGTACTTCGGACTGCAATATTCTAATAAAAGAATGTATAATAATATTAAATAAGTACATAAAAACTACCACACATTTGGTGTGGACTTAAATTAATCACATTTTGAAAATATGTTGAAATATTGTGCTTCTGTAATACCACGTTTTTGAGTTGTGTTGGTCTTTTAGTGATATTTATTAATATATAATCGATTAGTAACTGCTTTTCGCCACGATATATGACATACAATATATTATTTTTTTCAGGAACACATGGCCCAGCATACTGGTGAAAAAAACTACCAATGCCGGTTTTGTACGTCTACTTTCAATGTAACCGGAAATTATTATTCACATCTAAAGAGACATCATTCTGTCGAATATGAAAATTGGCGAAAAGATAATCTTACAGCAAACATTAGAAAGTTAAGCGAAATATAAATTTGCTGAAGCATTGCTTATTTCATAGAAAGCAGTTCTGAAGTGGTCGGTATTTTATTTTAAGGTAAGAAAATCATGACTAGTTTAATAAAAACTGTTACGATCGCTTCACAAATCATCGTTATATTGACCAGAGGACTAAAGGTGCGGTTAAACGTGGCAATGCAAGCGCTTTTTCAACGCATTTTACTGTCAAAATGCGAAATCGAAAGTCTACTTTCCCGTGGAAAATTCTTTTTGTAGATTTGCAGAAATCACTTTCGGATATAAAAACTGCAAGGTCTAACTGCAACTGAAATTATGCAAATCCCTTCCGAGAAATAATTTCTACTTGCCTGTGCTGCACCAGCAATTTTAGTTTTTGCCGCAAGTGCTGTCAAACCAATCAAGTGTTGCCGTGCGACGCGTTTTTTGGCGAATTTGTATAAAATTATAAAAATGTCGAATAAAATATGTGTAATTCATTTATTCTACATACTTATGGAATATTTAAGTATTAAAGTAATATATATTTTGTGACCGTTTTGTGCACATTTTAGCAGGTTTACCAAACTTTTCAGGTCATTAATTTTGTTATAAGCATAAAAATGTCTGGTAGAATAGTGGAAAGAGGGCTTGGCTGCATTCACCGTGTAAACAGACAAAAAGTAGTATCGGATAGTTTGATTTTCAGAAATTAAAAGTGCTTTCGAAAGTCACTTAACATGCAAGGTTTAACTGCTCCTGCAATCTCTTTTGGAAATTCTTGAGTTTGACAGACTTTTGAAAAGGACTTGCACTTGCCACGTCTAACAGCTACTTAACAGCTGGGGTGTTTTTTTTCGAGCGATAATTATGAAATTGCTATAAATCATTCCCACGACAGCCGGTTCTACGTACCAGAATGACTCGGGGGGGGGGGGGGG